GAGAGGGCTCGCTGGTTAAGATCACTTGTTGCTCTTCCAGTAGAACCAAGTGCAATTCCCAACACCCACATAGGGGCTCAACTGTCTGCAAGTCTTGTTCCAGGGGATCTGATGTGTTCCTCTGGCCTCCACTGGCACCAGGAGAGACATACATGCAGACAAATGCCATAAATATTAAAGACAGAGTACCATAAAAATAAGGTGGACAAAGTTTAAGGAAGCCAGTTAACATCGACCTCTGGCTTCCATATGCAATTCTGCACACACACACACACACACAGAATACTATGTAATAGGAAAAAATACTTTAATTTTTTATAAAAAGCATACACAGAAATATGTTCTGCATTCCTACCTCTTTTCTATCAAATTTAAAAAATAGCAAAATTAATTAAAAGATCTCAATAGACAAATATACACAGACAAGAACAAAAGCTCACAGTACTAAGGGAGGACACGTTGGCTTCTTTATTTTAGTTCTGTTCAGTATTAAAAGCACAAGGCTCCTATCACCATCAATTAAAGAGAGTAAAACATAAAAGTCCTCCAAAACCGCCAACCTAGAGAGGTTTGGCTAAATCCAAACTGTTATGCCTAAATCCAAAATGCCAATGAAAACAGTGCTTCAGTTTTGCTACTCACAAAGAACAAAGTTCAACGAGCCTGATAGTATCTTGTGTGAGTGAAGACACAGGGAAAACGAGGCTCCACCGTGGGTGTGGGAAGGAACAAGCTGTTCGGCTATGCTGGAGGACAACTTCTCAGGAGCTATCAGAAGTGCACATAATGTCTAACTCAGTAATGTTGCTTCACAGTATTCATTACACAACGCATGCAAAGCTACATCCCTGGAGTTATCTGTAGCGTGTTCATCATTGTGTAAATTTATAACAGAAAAACATACACGAGCAAGCTCATTAAATACCCAGCCAGGCGGTGGTGGCGGATGCCTTTAATCCAAGCACTCGGGAGGCAAAGGCGGTAGATCTCTGTGAGTTCGAGGCCAACCTGATCTACAAGAGCTAGTCCAGGACAGCTAGGGCTATTACACAGAAAAACCCTGTCTCACAAACCACCCGCTCCAAGAAAAGAAGAAAAAGGGGTGGGGAATATCCTAGCCAACTAGGCCATCACTACTGTCCATACAAGTAAAGATACAATCTAGCAGCATGTATCCACTATGGCTAGATCCTCGAGAACTGATGTTGAACGATGAAAAGCATGCTCCTCACATTTTCAACAGTTCCCATCGCGTGTCTATACAGTCTTTTTTTTTAAATTTATTTATTATGTATACAATATTCTGTCTGCGTTTATGCCTGCAGGCCAGAAGAGGGCACCAGACCTCATAACAGATGGTTGTAAGCCACCATGTGGTTGCTGGGAATTGAACTCAGGACCTTTGGAAGAGCCGGCAATGCTCTTAACCGCTGAGCCATCTCTCCAGCCCTATACAGTCTTTCTGCAGTGTAGTTCTGCAGTGCTAAACCTGCTGCTCCTCGGTGGAGGACGTCAGACGAGTCCCCAAGCCCCTTGAACACCTTACGTCACATTCTCAACACTGACTGCACAGCTGGGTGGAGGTGCTGCCTTCCTGCAGTGCTCATGGCTTTCCTGGGGAAGAGACACCCCCAAGGGCTCCTTCCTGGGCTATATCTCAGCTTGGAGGCACCTAGACAGTGCAACTGTTAGAAATTGGCACCCCAGATCTCTCTGATGTGGGCTCATGTCTATGAATAACCAGGGGACTTTGGAGGGCTTTGGAGAACTTTCGCATTTTTACTCTTTGACAGCGATAGGAGTCTTGTGCTTTTAGCACTGCACAAAGCCAAAATGAAGAAGCCAGCCTGTCCTCCCTTTGTGCTGTCAGCCGATGCTCGTCCCCTCAGGTCAAATCTTCCACTGTGTGTCACCAGGGATCACCAGCTACGGTGGAGCTGTGTCCTGTTTCCTCTTCCCCTCACTGTGGATGTTAAAGCCCACTCATGCTTTCCTTCCTTGTACATCACCAGTCTTTCTGTTGTCCTTAAAAGACTAGATCCAGAAAAGGTCATGAACAATTTCCAGCCATTAAAGTAGTCTAGGATCTTCCCTGCAGCAAGCAGTCCGGGAGACCAGATGTGCAGGACCTCCCCCGCCTTCCTCCACTCCTGACCCCACAACTCCTGTGCGGTCCTGCCTGCCTGTGGCTAGGCAACAAGGCTGTATTTCCTCATCTCTGGTAACATTAGCAAAACCTGACAGCACCTAAATTAGCATATGCGCACCTCCAACTTCTGCTTATGCTTCCTCCTTCCCTCCTGGGGGCCTTGCCAGGTCAGCTGGTAAACACGACGTGGGTTGGGTCAACAATGTAAAAAGCTCACCTCAGCCTTCACTGGGTGATGTTTGGATTTTCATCGCCTTGTTTAAAGGACAACATTGATACACTAACCAGCACCATTTGCAGAGGAAAAGAGAAAACACTGAAAGTAACAATATAGAAACATTCTAACGTGCAGTCGTGTGGAAGCAAGGACTGCCAAATAGTCCATTAGCAAAGACGGGTTTTAAAAGCCCAGGAATGACACAGAGAGGGGAAGAGACTTTTCTCTCCTTAGTAACATCAATTATACAACTACAAACTTGCTTTTCAGGAAACACGGTCTCTAAAATTAACCTGGTCGGGGTTAAAGCATTTACTATGACCTTACTTCATAGATTTTGAATATATCACTTCAAAGCTCCTATATCATCCACCTTAAAGCAGGCACAGCTGTTTGAGCAATACTGCTAAAAGAAAGGAATAATCCGGCATTAAAAAGTTACTTGGCCCAGCAGAGATTCTGGCGCCAGGCTGCCTGGGTTCAAAACCCAATTCCCACTTGGGATTTTGGTCAGTTCCCTCAATCTCTTTGTGTGTCTCTGTATTCAACTAATTGAAATAACAACAGTGCTCACCTCCAAGAATTGTTATGAAAGGGTAAAACCTACAAAGAAAAAAATGCACACAGCGCACACTCAACAGGATGAATTTCTCAAGTAACTAATATGTTACGTTAAAAAAGTGAACAACCAGTTTTTTTGTTGTTGCTCTGTTTTTAAACCAAAGGCCATGTTTTCTCATTCTCCAGGCACAGGGCCCCTTTCTCACTAAATAAATTTGTTGAGTGCAGCCAAAGTTGTCCTTCTGATCCAGGATTTGTAACTAAGATATTCTGCTTGATTAAACACACACACACACACACACTAATAGAAATGTCAGTTTCTAAATGTCCAGAAGGAAAGGAAACAGGAACAATAGGAAAATGCAATGAGTACTATTTACAAACAAGGAGAATGAAGAAATCATTGTTGGGAGAATGGACCATTCATGGAAAACATGAAGTTTGGTCAGTAATTAGCGATGGTGACCCACACCTCTAATGCCAGCACTTGGGAGGCAAGACAGGTGAAGTTTAAGATCAACCGATTTTCGTGAGGCATACTCTTGAAAGAAAGGAAGGAAGGAAGTCAGTCAGTCCTGGCAGTAAGAAAATGCCTATGGTTCCTATTTCAATTCCATGAACCAGCAAACGTAGCTCCCAACATGAGAATTTTTTGACAGGATGGCAACCAAAGCAAAAAAGCTACATGAAAACATAATCACAGCTCGGGAGAGTCAGAATTCCAAAACTGCTGTCAGATCTTTGCTTGTCTTAAATAAACATCAATCCAGACCTTTATAAAGGCTTTTTATTTCGTAAGAACTGTAGCGACAGAAGAAAGCTTCAAAGTCAAAGTCTTCAAGTGTCTCCATGTCAAACAAGGCTTTCTTTCATGGGGACGACAGGCAGACTGCGAAACGGTAAGGGGGAGCGTAGAAGAACAACCGAGTACACAGAAGTCATGAACAAGCCTCGGCGCCAGCTCTTAAGATGCATTTTGGTGCTTGTTCAGGCTTGGACAAAGTGAAGTGCGGCGGGTACAAGGAAGGGAAAAGCCAGGCAGACATGTGCACAAATCAGGGCAAAAAAACAAACCACGGGCGACTGTGAACAATGAGCCCTTTCATGAGAGGAGGAATCTGGCTTCAGGTGAACCGTCAGATAGAGCAGCTAAGAGTTAAATCAAGAAAAGCTAAGTGGGAAACCCTCGGTAGCTTAGCACAATTTAGTTAATAAAGTATTCTTTGCTGTGGCCCTGAGCCTTAACCCTTGATTTCCTGGCACCAGGCTCTGCTGAGTGAGACTTGTGTCCTCCAATCCGCTCTGCCAGCCTGGCCAAAGAATTTGCAAACAGATCTTTCTCACCTGCGTCCCTCTTAAACAACTGATTCATCCTCTCATACAGACAGCCAACAACTAGAATACACACAAAACAAAAGGAGCGAGTCACGACACAGGAATATGGGGCTGACTTTTACAAGAATAAATTCCAAATGCTGGATCGAGAATATCTGGGGAAAAACAAGAGCTGATGAAGTTCTTTGTTTTTTGTTTCGTGTTCTATCAAAAAACTCAGCACACACATTTCACTGGCCTTGGCTCGGAAAATTTGCCCCAAACATTTTCTGGTCACATGAAACAAAGTAAAAAACAGTTCAAAAGACTGGTGAAATAGTAAAAAAAAAAAAAAAAAAAAAAAAAAAATCTGAAAAAAAAAAAAACAAAATACTAGTGACTAATGTAATAAACAGGCTGAAAGAGTTTAGATTCCAATTGTGCTGTTTTGATGTTTCTGGAACAAACCACTCTTATTAATTTAAAAATTCTGTAATCATTTCACATATTGAAAACCAAAGCTGGGCCAGGTAGTTGTAGAACACGCCTTTAAGGCCAGCACTTAGGAAGCAGAGACAGGAGGATCTCTGGGAGTTCGAGGCCAGGCTGGTCTGCAAAGCAAGTTCTAGGACAGCCAGGGCTGTTACACAGAGAAACCCTGTCTCAGAAAACCAAAGCTGGGAAATACGAAAACAGTGACTTGACACCTTTTAAAAACTTATTTTTGGCATTTTACTATTTGAGACGTGATCCTCTTACCTGTCAGGGATATATTATGGCTCTCCAAGGAAAGGTTTGAGTATTTTGCCATCATTTCTTCTCGAACAGGTAGACTTGTAAAAGATGAATCTGTAAGACAAATTACATGTGGTTACATTTACAATATCCTCGCCAAGACTAGATGATTATTTAAAAACCAGCTTGGAGCTGGCCAGATAGTTCAGTGGATAAAGGTGCTGGCTGCCAAGGCTGGTGACCTGAGTTTGGGTGTGTGTGGGCATGCACACATGCACACGTGCACACACACAAGTGCATGCATGCTATATATATGCATGCTAAAAAAAAGTCTGTTCAACTTTTTTTTTCTAATAAAAATGACTTAGTCCCACTCTTGGGCATGACTCATGTAGAGATTATATTAAAGAAATAATGCAGTAAGTCCGTCCGAGACAGACGCCACTCAGTCGGTGCTAGTTAGGAAGAAAAAGTGGGTCAGAAAGAGCTATGGTGACTGCTATCTGATCTGGACCGCTGCAAAGCATACGTCCCCTCATTTGGAAGCCCTCTTTTCCTGGCCTCGCGGTCTACTATGACATTTCTCATTGCATGTCCTAGTCCTCACAGGAGCACGTCACCCCTTCAGATGGCCACCATCACTCATGCTGGGGGCGGTGACTGTCATTCACACCGTCGGTGTGACAGCAGTCGGGGAAAATGCCGTGTGTCACTTTCATCCTGACTCCACTTAAGCAAGGATAAAAGTACCTGGTGTACAGTGTGTGCTGGCACAGAGCAGGACGTGGGGTCAACGGGATCCCTAAAAGCTAACGGACGATAAAGTAACTGCTTGGGCCCCCAAGTGATTGAGTCATTAACATTTCAGAAGCACTTATCCCTGGTATTAGTGTCGTGAGCTTGCGTCTTTCATACAAGTGAGCACAGGATCTACAGAGGGTAAGCTTGACCTTGGAGATGGCATGAAGGTCAAGGAGATCAGGGCTGGGAGGGCTTTCCCCTCTTCACCTCCAGGTACCAACTCTGGAAGAACCTATCTAGAGCTACAAGAAAACAAAGAGAGGAAAGGGCTTCAAAGGCTGAAGTTGACCAAAATCTCAGCTCACCGCAGCTGAAAGAATAAGAGAAGGGAAAACAAGACACCTGACGCGAGAGAATCTGGAGCATTCCAGAATATACTAGCTGCTGTGGCCATTTCTAACTAACAATTCACATATTAAAAGATATACTCAGAGAGCTGCAAACCTGTCACTAGCTGACACTAACATCACATCTTCGTTAAAAGGGCAATCTTTTTATTATTTTATTCTGCTTTTCGAAGGCAGGGTTTTTCCGTGTAGCCCTGGCTAACCTGGAACGCGCTCTGTAGACCAGGCTGGTCTTGAACTCACAGAGATCTGCCAGCCTCTGCCCTCAGTGTTGGATCAAAGGCGTGTGCCACCACCTCCTGGCTAAGCATCAGCCATTATCAGGGTCTACTTTCCACTGAACATGCAAAAGGATTCCTTCAAGAAGCAGTATGAGCAATTGCTATGAGTATAAAAAGCAGGCAAGGAGGCTAGGACGGGTGAGTTCTCAGTTTGGACAAGATATTCTGTAATCACAAAAGGGAGGCTGTAAACCTCACGGCTTCTACACCAGGACAGGCGGCAGTGAGGGGCAGATTTAGCAAGCATGTGTATGTAAAAGAAATTGGCGGGGAAGGCTCAGACAGATGTGGTCCAGATGCATCCCTGAAAGGGTTAGGCTGAGTCACAAAAGGAAATAAAAATAAAGAGGTAGGAACTGCATGTCCCAAGCTGAGTTGGGCCAGTCAGTAGCTGGTGACCTAAAGTATCAAAATGCGACTGATAATAGCTCAGCACTTTGATGACAATGTCTCCATCACAAACCTCAGTTCTTAGAGAAAGTGGCGGGGAGGGAATTAGGAAAAGTCACACAAATCCTGAGTGATGGTGCCAAGTTCAAAACATGCATTCTTCAGGGTATTACAATCACCCTTTTCTTAATCATTTCTGGACATTTTCCACCTGGCTTTCTCTTCCAGGTAACTGATGAAACGCCAGCCTAAAAGAATCACAAATAGTGGTTGTTGCAGAGATTAGAGGACTGCTCTTCCTCCCTCTGAGGGGAGATGGTGCGTAAAGATACTGAATCAAAGAACTGAGAGGCAAACTAATTTTCAACCCATTGTTACTTGATGAAAAAAAAATATGGTTTTATATTACGTTTTACAACAAGTCTTGTGCCGGGCAGTGGTGGCGCATGCCTTTAATCCCGGCACTCCGGTGGTAGAGGCAGGTGGATCTCTGTGAGTTCGAGGCCAGCCTGGCCTACAAGAGCTAGTTCCAGGACAGGCTCCAAAGCTACAGAGAAACCCTGCCTTGAAAAAAAGAAAAACAGGTCTTGCTAGAAGGGCTTAAAATTTACAGTAGTACCACCATGGAGTGGAATAAAGGTTACAGTGTCTCACATCTTTAACTGTGTGCTTTGTTTAAAAGAAGCAGACTGGAGAGGGTGTAACAAGGAAGAAATGCTAGAAAACGGGGAGGAGTCTTAAGAACTGTTTGTTTCTGGAAGGAAATCTTCAAGTGCATCTCCTATAAGAATAACTACTTCCTCTAAGCCGGGCTTGCTAGTGTAGGCCTATAATCTTTCCCATGGCTCACAAGGCTGAGGCAGGAGGACTGCCAATTCTGGGCAAATCCATGAGTTACTGCTTCAAGATGTTCAATGAAAAGAGGGCTGAGACACCAGTGATAGATATCACTTCCCATGCATGTGCAAAAACCCTGGCTTGCACCCCCACTACAAAAAAAAAAAAAAAAAAATTAAAGATTGTAGTCTAATATTTCTCTATTGCATCTTCTCTAGATTGTTTTTAAAGTTTATTTGCATGCATGTGTGCTTGTGTGACTATGTGTACCACATGCATGCAGGAGCCTGTGTAGAGCAGAAGGAGGCATCAGGCCCTACTGAGCGTATAGATGGTCATGAGCCGCTGGGTGGGTGCTGGGAACAAAGCCAGTTCTTCTGCAAGAGCAGTACTTTTCTCTTAATCACAGAGCCTCTCTCTAGGTCCTCCTCGTTACAGTTTAATATTTTGGATTTAATACTTTTTGTTTAAAATGGCATAACTCAGGGGCTCAGCATTTGCCTAGCATGTAATATTCAATCTATAGGACTGCCAAAAAGAAGTTCTAAGTTATTGTTAAATTAAATATATTATTCTTTATGCTTAATTTGCATTTTTTATTATTGTAAGTATGCATACTTAAGATTATTTTGATAAATATTTATTTTAAAATTCTGACACACAATAGTATAAATACACAATTATAAGAACTACAACTTAGGAACAGGTAAAATATACTACTGAAAAATCTAAAATATGAAAAATCAGTATATTTTTTTCATGGAAGCAACAATATATGCAAGAATAGGACTGCAATATTATGGCTTACCTACAGCTTTAAGACATCTAATTACCAGGTAAAATCCTCCTCACAAACAATGCATTTGGAATTACATTTCTAGGCATCTAGTATTTCTATCCCCTTTCATAACTGTAGTACGAGGGAAAGAAGCAGAGGTGCTGTGTCAGGATACTCGGAGTTGTGGGCATATTCTAGAATCTGTTGAGGAAATTCTGAGCTGCCAAGGGTACAAGTCAACCTTTAACAGTCCCAGACAAAGAACATTCCAGGCAGGTAACTACTATAGTACAGATAATAAGAGAATTACTGGACAGAAAGGCCATTTATCATTGAGCTTTAAAGAATAAAACCCTGACAAGCACAATGTGTACTTTTACATGACCTCCTAAGGCATTCCATAATAACACCAACGACAACCAAGCGTTTCTCAGACCAAAAAGTAAATGGCGCAAAGACTGAGAAAGCTTGGCTCTGAGTAGCTACATCCTCAACCCCTGGTCCCGATTTGGTATGACTGCTTTTTAGAATCTACAAACATCCCTGTAACCCCGAGGTCCTGTTCTGCAGAGTTTACACATAAATATTTTAAAGCATAGATATCAAGTCAGCATTCACAGATGACTAACAGCCTCCTGCCCCTGCCCCAGGTCTACTCTGAGGATCGCTTTAGGAAGAAACCCCATTGCTGGGTGGGCGACTGAAGTGTGAAACAAGAAACCAGCTATGGCTTGCTCCTTGCCCCTGGATATATGACAGAGGCACTTGGAGTGTTTAGATCAATCAGAACTCCCTTTCGGGTTCTTAACTTGTGCAACTCAAAGGCCAAAAAAGATTTTATCTCGGCCTGGATGTGATGGTACACGCCTATAACCTCAGCACTGGGGAGGTGGTGGCAAGAAGATGAGGGATTCAAATTCATTCTTGGCTACCCAGTGAGTCTAAGGCGAACCACAGATAAAACCCTCCCCCATAAAAACAAAACCAAACAGAGAAGACTCTGTTTGGGGATTAAGAGGTTAGTTATGCTAACCTCCATAACTTTAAAAACAGAAAAAAAAATGTATTCAATAAAACAAACAGTACCATCTTTAAAGACAATGTCTCTCATTCCTGTAATAACATTACAGAGGTATTCCACTATGCCTGAATGATGATGGTACCTTGAGGAGTTTATTTTTAACAAAATATTGTAAAGGAGTCTTTTCTTTCCCGTCTATGTTAGTGTGTGTGTGCAAAGTGGTTTAGTCACAAGGTTGTCCTTATTGTTGCAAAATATGAGAATATGAGATGCCGGCAGCCAAGAGTAGCTCCTAGGAATTGCAAGGGAAAAGGGGGGGGGGAGAGGGAGAGAAGGAGAAGGAAGGAAGGAAGGAAGAAAGGAAGGAAGGAAGGAAGGCAGGCAGGCAGGCAGGCAGGCTCAACACACATCTGTTTCTGTTTAAGGGCATGTTCTTTTTTTTTTTAAGATTTATTTATTATGTATACAACATTCTGCCTGCATGTATGCCCACATGCTAGAAGAGGGCATGTTGTTGTGAGCCACCATGTGGTTGCTGGGAATTGAACTCAGGACCTCTGGAAGAGCAGCCAGTGCTCTTAACCACTGAGCCATCTCTCCAGCCCCTAAGGGCATGTTCTCTAGAAAATAGTACCAAGAGTTGGAGGGTCAGTTCAGCA